ATGGTCCCCAATGCAAGCAGTGTTCAGAGGTGGGACTTTGAAGAAGGGACTGGACCCTGGAGGCTCTACATTTATCATGCATTCATCCACTGGAGAGGCTATTATGGGACACGACAACTGTGGGAGATGGGTCTGATTGGAGAAGTAGCTCAGGAGGCCTACCTTGCCTTGGTTCCTCTTGTTTTCCTTTGCTTCCTGGCTGCAGTGAGATCTCCTCCTCCATGCCCTTTGCCATGACTGTTCTGCCTTGTCAGAGACCTAAAGGCAATGGAGCTATCGGACTATACACTGACACCTCTGAGTCTGTGAGCTCAAATCAACTTTCCTTCCTTTAAAAAAAAATGTTCAAATTCAAACCATCTGAGGAAAAATTCAATCTCCACCCTCTTTAATGGTGTGATATGGAGCAAGCACATGATTATTTTGCTAAAACTATGCTGTGTGGGGCTAGGGAGATGGCTTAATCATTAAAATGTTAGCAGGAAGATCTGAGTTCAATCCTCTAGGACCCACATAAAAAATCCAGGTGTGGTAGCACATGCTTGTAACACTAGTGCTGAGAAGCAGAGTCAGAGGATCAGAGGATCCTTGTGACTTGCTGGCCAGCTAGCCTAGCCAAGTTAGCAAGTCCAGGTGTCTCAAAAATAAAGTGAAGCCTAGTGTGGTGGTATGTGTCTTTAAGCCCAGCACTTGGGAGGCAGAGACAGGTAGATCTCTGTGAGATGGAGGCCAGCCTGGTCTACACAGAGAATTCCAGGTCAGCTGGGGCTACAGGGAGACCCTGTCTCAAAAATAACAAAAGAAAAGGGCGGAAAGTGATTAAGGAAGACACCTAACATCAACCTATGGCCTTTCACATGTACATACACATGTGTACCCATGTGCACAAGTATGCATACACACAAATAGGTACATACACAAATAAAACTAAAAATATAAAATACAGATGTGACCATCATCCAGTGTTGCTGGACCTTGAACTAAGGCCAAATATAAGAGAATTCTTCTTTGAGATATTTTATACTTATGCGTGGTGATGCATGTAAGTAATCCAAGCTCTCTGGAAACTGAGGCAGGACAATTGTGGGCTTAAGGCCAGTAAGACTACACAGCAACACCCTGTCTCAAAATGAAAAAAAAAAGATATTCAGGCTGGAGAGATGGCTCAGCAGTTAAGAGCCCAGGCTGCTCTTGCAGAGGACCCAGGTTTGATTCCCAGCACCCACCTGGTAGCTAGCAGCCTTCCGTAACTCCAGAGGGTCCAACATCTTCTTCTGACCTCCAAAGGCATTACACAACACAGTGCACTTACACACATGCAGGCAATACACTCATACACATAAAATAATAAAATACTTTTTTTAAAAAAAGAAGAAAGGATATTTAATTGGTATGTGAGACCTATTCAGGCTTTAAGGTCAAAACTGATTTTTAAAAATATTTTATTTATTATTTTATGTGTATGTGTGTATTGCCTGAATGTAAGTAAGTACACCCGTATCATACAATGCCCATGGAGGACAGAAAAGGCCGTCGGATCCCCTGGAACTGGAGTTATGGACAGTTGTTAGTTGCCATGTGGGTGCTGGAATTTGAACCCGGGTCTTCTGCAAGAACAACCAGTGTTCTTAACTGCTGAGCCATCTCTCCAAGCCCTGGTCATAACTGATTTTACTTTCATATTTTTAAAAACCAATATATGTAGTCTAGTGACTGTGTTGGTGTTGAATAAATGAATACCTTTTTCTAAATTAATACTTCATAAAGTACTAGCAGAGTCTAGTACTATTTAGTTCAACAACCTACTGACAAATTATACATACAACTAGTTCAAGGAAAAAAAATATGTCTAGTCAAGGTTTATCTGAGAATGTTTGGTTTTCGCCTAAACTTTATCTATAATAAAGTTTAAACATTAAATTACACATGGTAATTAAAAGTACCAAACTGGTGGAACTAACCTTCTTGGTTGTTTAACAGCCATAGTTTGAGGCTTATACTAATCTGGTCAGAGGGACTTAAAGGATAGTTTTACTCCTTGCCCTCCAAGGTCAACTAAGTTCCAGGGGATTATGGAGCATCTCACAAAATGTCCTGTAACTGTGGTAAATCACATGTCCTCCTGTTCAGGGAGGCCATGGAGACCCCACGAGATGGACTTAAACCAGTGTCCAGTCTACAAAGAGGAGGGTCAACTCAGAGGAAACATTTCCTCCATGCTTCCAAGTGAAGCCATCCATGGTCGAGCAGGTCCTTTGACTGATTTTCATATAGATAGAACTGGTAAAAGAAAGGAGCCAGTCAGGAATCCTTATGGAAGAGGGGGCAAAAAAATTGCAAGAGTCAGAGGTAGTGGCTGGATCCAAGGAAACTGCTTTCCAGACCTAACAAGGCAGTTGCACATATGAGCCCATAGTGCTTGTGACAGCATGCACAAATCTGTGCAAGCTCAGCCAAACAAAACCCAGAATGTATGGAGGAGGTGGGCAAGAAGCCCCAACCTTAGCTGAGGATCTACTGGCAATTGATAGCTACTGAGAGAGGGGGAGTGGGTTTTCTTTAGGAGTGTGATGTTGGATAGGTTACCAGGCTCCAGGGGATGGACCCACAATGACGAACCTGTAGAGGCACAAATTAAGTTCAATAGTCCTTTAAAAAAAAAAAAAAACATTAAGTGAGGAGTTAGGAAGGTGAGGTCTGATCTGACAGGAGATGGGGGAAGGAGTCTGAATATGGTCAAAATACCTTGGATGGAATTCTCAAAGAACCAATAAAAATGCAAGAAAGAAAGAAAGAAAGAAAGAAAGAAAGAAAGAAAGAAAGAAAGAAAGAAAGAAAGAAAGAAAGAAAGTAAGAAAGCACTTCCATAGGAAGGAAGGAAGGAAGGAAGGAAGGAAGGAAGGAAGGAGCCAGGGGCTGGAGAAATGGCTCAGCGGTTAAGAGCACTGACTGCTCTTGCAGAGGACCAAGGTTCAATTCCCAGCACCCATATGGCAGCTACAAACCATCCTTAACTCCAGTTCCAGGGGAATTTGACATTCTCTTCTTACCTCCTCGGCATTGCATGACATGGGTGCATTCACATACATGCAGGCAATACACTCATACACATAAAATAAAATAGTAAATAAAATATTTTAATTAAAAAAGGAGCCAGGGTCTCCTCCCAAGCCCATGTGACCCCTGAGAAACAGATCAGGAACAGATTCTCAAATGACCTTAAGTGTAAAAATAAATTGGTTTATTTGGGCCAACTGTATGGTTTCAAACACCCAAAAGGAAAGTATAACCAAAGCTTAAAGGGATCAGTATATTTCTTTAAGAGTCCATGTATATAGCTAAAGGCTACATAACAACAATGCCAGGCAGGAGATACCTTCCTTTGAGTTGTTGGCCAGGCTGGCCAAGAGACTCCCAGACAGTAACCCTGCATAGAACTGGGAAAATGAACAGCAGACCCCAATCTTATCTAAAGGAATGTTAGCAACTGATTGCTGCTAGATGAAGAAGAACTGAGCTTCCTGAAACAAGGGACTCTAGACAGGCTGATTAGATTCAGTGGATGGACTTGCCCTGGGGAAAGGCTGGGGTCACTGACAACACAGTGGGCAGTAACAGGGATGACAGTAGTATATGGGCTCCAGGGATTGGGGGAAGGCTATGAGAGGGTACCATTTGGGATGTGGGTATGAAGATGAATAAGAGATAAATAAGATTGTTTGGGATGTTCTGTATGAAATACACACGTTAATTAAATAAATAAATAAATATAAATAAATTAATTAAATAAATAAAATCAATGGAATCTGGGACTGGAGAGATGGCTCAGCATTTAAGAACATGTATTGCTTTTGCAGAGGACCTGGGTTCAGTTCCCAGCAACAACATGGCAGCACACAACTGTCTGTAACTCTAGTTCCATGGGACTTGATGTCTTCTTCTGGTCTCCATGTGTATTGCACATACAGGCAAGCAGGCACATATATGTAAATAAATAAAAATGGATCATATTGGGGTAGAGATGTAGTCTAGTGACTGTGATGGCATTGAATAATTGAATAACTTTTTCTAAATTAACATTTCATAAAGTGCTAGTGGTCTTTCTTCATAATTAAATTTGCTAATGAGAAAAATATTTGGACCAATGACTACAACATATAATTCAATATTCTAAGTTCATTTGCATACAGCCTTTGATGACCACAATTTTCTGAGTGCCTACCACGTGCGAGGAGACAATCCAAGATTGAATAATTGAATAACTTTTTCTAAATTAACATTTCATAAAGTGCTAGTGGTCTTTCTTCATAATTAAATTTGCTAATGAGAAAAATATTTGGACCAATGACTACAACATATAATTCAATATTCTAAGTTCATTTGCATACAGCCTTTGATGACCACAATTTTCTGAGTGCCTACCACGTGCGAGGAGACAATCCAAGAGCTATAACACATGTGGCTGTTTTACTTGCTGGGAAGATCAGAAGAATGAGCACAAATAAACATTCACCCTAATTGTCACAGTAACTGACAAGTTAGGGAAAATCAATATTTCTCTATTGGATAAATGAGAAAACTGAAATTTGAGAAGGCTAAGTTGCCTGGTCTACATAGTGAGTTCCAGGAGAGCTGGAGCTACATGGAGACCCTGTCTCAAAAAGACCAAAAACAAAAAATACAGTTGTGATTCATTATCAACCACCATCCACTCACCTGAGGGCCTAGCCATTAAAGAACAGGCATGTAATTTAGGACAGATAAAGTTTTTTCCTCCATTAGGCTGATATTCAAAACTCCCACTTAGTCTTCTTTAGCAATCATAGCAATCAAGTGTGAAGTTATCAGGAATCCCAAAAGCACACGCTGGAATGAGTAACTTTGAATCTGACGTTAGGTAAGTAGTTTTGAACTGATCCATTCTGAGAGGATATCGGGGGAGATGGTCTTTTCTGATCTCCCCAGTTGGTTTCTTTTCTTTTCTTTTCTTTTTTCACTCACATCAGATGGGTAATATGCCAGTGCATTACAGGATTTGAGGGTGGTGCATGTCACGCATGCTCATGAACACCCAGTCATAACGCTTATGAACCACAAAAGGATCCCTTCAGGGATCTAATCCCTTCAGGATATGGGGTCAGGATATGGGGTTGTCTCAGCCCATTTAGTGAGCCTACTCTGACCTGGTAAGACACTCCCAGTGCTGTTTAGATGCTATTTTAGGGCATTTAATCTAGAGGTAGAGCACTTGTCTAGCATGTGTAAGGACCTAGGTTTAATTCCCAGTACCACCACCCCCCTCAAAAGTCATTATAATTTCAGAATCTATGAGAGCCATATAATGGAATCTTAAATTTCTTTTTTTAGAAACAGGGTCTCCAGACTGGGCCTTGAAGTCAGAGATCCACCTGCCTCTGCCTCCGAAGAGCTGGGACAGGCATGCGCTACCACGCCCAGCTAGGAATCCTAAATTTCTATTAGAGAAGATTTTTTAAAGTCCAGGACTCAGCTGGGCATGGTAGCACCTGCCTTTAATCCCAGCACTCGGTGGAGGACAGAGGCAGGTGACCCTGTGAGTTCAAGGCCAGCCTGGTCTGCACAGCAAGTTCCAGGTCAGCTGAGGCTACAGGGAGACCCTGTCTCCAAAAGATTAAAAAAAAAAAAAAAAAGTCCAGACTCAATTCAAGGCTGAATTATTCAGCACCAACTAAATAAAAACACCATCTTAATGATTTAAGGGTAGAAAGTTTAAATGAATCAGTACAGTCTTTGCCGGTTATCAGCAGTCTGTTGGATTACACAGGTAGATAAGGTAACCGTCTGTCTCTGATCAAAGACTGTGTGGTGGGTAGATAAGGCTGAGCTATTCACTACAATTGAGAGATCAAAGACAGCATGACAGAGGACGTGGAAGGAGTCTGGCAAGTTGAGCTCAGGGAAGAGTATGAAGAAAGAAGATGGAAGGCAAAGTACAGAAAACAATGTGATCAAAGTCAGGAATGATGTGAAGGGAAGAAGTTATATCAGAAAATGAGAGATGTGATAATAAGATGCTCATCTGGGTCTGAAGTAGAGGCAGAAGAAATTCTTCTTTCCACCAAGCATGCTCGGGGGCTTCAAGAGTTCAAATAGCTTCCAACTTTCAGTAAAATCAGACATTAACTAGAGCTATAGGAGACTGATCATCTAACATAACCATTCCCATTGTGAGATCTCCCCCACACACACACACTCACATACACATGCACATATATATATCATTGTCTTACTGAGAAGTGTAAGTGGCAGTGACCGCACAGGGATAGAACCAGCACTGCTGCTTCTTAGAATTCTTAGAAATTTTATTATTTTATTTTACTTTTAAATTATTTTTTCATATTTTACTATTTTTATTTTATGTGTATGTGTGTATTGCCTGCATGTAGGTAAGTGCTCCTGTGTTGTGCAGTGCCTCAGAGGTCAGAAGAGAGCTTCAGATTCCCCTGGAACTGGAGTTAAGGATGCTTTGTAGCCGCCATGTGGGTGCTGGGAATCGAACCCGGGTCCTCTGTAAGAGCAGTCAGTGTCTTAACCACTGAGCCATCTCTCCAGCCCCTTAAGTTAATTATTATTTTTATTTTATGTGTATGAGTGTTGTGCCTGCATGTACATAAGCGCACCTGTGTTGTGAAGTGCCCTCAGAGGTCAAAAGAGGGCATCTGATACCCCTGGAACTGGAGTTATGGACAGTTGTTAGCCACTGTGTGGGTGCTGGGAATCAAACCTGGTTCCTCTGCAAGAGCAGACAGTGCTCTTAACCACTGAGCCATCTCTCCAGCTGTAGGGATGACCTTCTGGGAAATTATTGTCTATCAAACTGTACATATAATGTATATACATGTTATATATATTATATATATACATATATATTGTAAGAAAGTCTAACCTATTCTGGTGTTCTGTTCCCCATGAGATATCCCATTATATAGGCTCAAACAATTTTTAAAAAGGAATTTTATATATAGCTTGGTATATATATATATTATATGCAGTTTGGTAGACCCAGGTTCAGTTCCCTGCACCCACACGGCAGCTAACAACCATCTGTAACTCCTTCTTCTCGCCTGCATAGGCATTGCACACATGGGTACACCGACATAGATTCAGGCAAAACACTCATGCACATAAAAAATAAAAACAAAAATTTTTTTAAAAGAGCACTTGTAAGTAGCAGCTCTCAAAGAATTTGGTTCTCAGCATTCACACTGAGTGTCTCAAAACTGCCTGTAACACAAGCTCCAAGGCATCCAATGCCCTTTTGGGTCTCTATGAATATGTACACTCATGTGCACATACCCCCTAACAAGCACACACATGTATACATAATTAAAAATAAAATAGGTCTTAAAAAAGACCATGTCTAGCTGGGTGTGGTGGCACATACCTTTAATACCAGCACTCAGGAGGCAGAGGCAGGAGGATCTCTGTGAGTTCAAGGCCAGCCTGGTCTACATAGTGAGTTCCAGGCCAGCTGGGGCTACAGGGAGACCCTGTCTCAAAAAGACCAAAAAAGAAAAAGAAAGAAAGAAGACCATGTCTGATGTATAATCACCAAAGTCTGGCCTGAAATTCAGATACTTTATCTTGTATGTAAATTTCCCTTGAGTCTGGGGATACAAGGGCAACAGCAAACTTGTCGTGAAGGCCATAGAAAGAGTGATTAGGAGACTCTGGCCTTTTGAAATGTCCAGGTGGGAAATACATGGTGGGAACTAGGAGATACAGTATCAAAGAATGTGTATTTAGAGTGTCATGCTGTGACGGGTATTCATGGATCTCATCCTGTGTAGTTCCTAAAGAGCTTTGGAACTCTTAGAATATGCCTCTCCAAGTCCCTACACTCAGGTTCAGGTTGGTAGCTGTGTCATCGGCTTAGGGTGCTACATGGACCACCACGCAGGCATAGACCACTCACAGAGCTGAGCAGTATGTAAAAAAAGGAAGAGGTAAGTATGGCTAGTGGGGTTTAATGGCTCACATGGCTGTGAGGTCCTTTAGAGGAAAACTTCCACTATTCACTTGTGTTTACATTTTTCTGGTCACCTTCATCCCCACTCCCTGAGGCCAATTAGAAAAAATTCTTCAAGAAAAAGATGTGACCAACCAGGGTAAGGGGAAAAGATGATTCCAGGTAGGAGAGACCTTTATCTGTGTGGCATATGAGAAGAGCACCAACCACAGATTGACACAAATCAGCCTCTATTTGTGATGCTTAATCCTATGTGCCAATGTGACTAAACCATCATATTTACTCAGATATTATTCCAGGTGTTTTTATGTGGGTGTTTTGTGAATGAGATTACCTTTTAAATTAATAGACTAAATTAAAGGATTACCCTTTATAAGGTGGGTGGGTCCTAAAAGGACTGAACACAACCAAGTGATCTCTCTGTATCTGCTTTATCCCTCTGCCTTTTCCCATTGTTGAATCATAGCCTTTCCTAGATCCCACGCCTGTCAACCTTCGCAATAGAATTACAGCATTGCCCCACCTGAGCTCCAGGCCTTTGAACTGGGGCTAAACTGTGCCATCAGCTTTCCTGGGTCTCTAGCTCAACAACTCACCTTGCAGGTTTTGGAACTTGCCAGCCTCAAAAATGCTAAGGGCCAATTTCTTATCATAAGCTTCTTTCTAAGTATAATCTATGGGTTCTGTTTCTCTGAATAATACACCACTCAAGGTATTTGAAATAAAAACAGGGATCAGGCACCTATTACACATAGATGGATGGATTGATGGATGGATGAGGGGAACATCAATTATGGAATCCACTCCTAGTATCTGGATGATCAAGAAGAAAGGGAACATAAGATCCTGTGTTGAGTCATGGGGAGCTGGATGAGTCACACAGCAAGATGCCTATAAGCTGGCCAAACCTTGAGTCTGTCATCTACCAGCCCACACCTACCTGCCTGGCTGTGTGATGGAAGCAAGTGATATCTGCCTTCCTCTCTCCTTCTAACACTGCAGCAGCATCTCTCCTAAAAGAAATCCAAACTGAAAGCCTGCCAGGAAGAGTGAGTTTGGGAAATGGAGTTTTAGGCCTCCAATACCTGTAATAAAAGGGAAAATTTTAAAGGCCCATAAAGAAAAGGTTAAGAGAAAAGAAATGAATTGATGAGCAAAATTCCATTGGTCCATAACCACAAGTTCACCAAAGTGTCCTTCCTCATGTACATCAAAGGGACTTGACTTTAGTATGGAAATAATATCAGGTAGAATCAAGTCCTGTTGGCTGTGATATGCCTACATGAGTCCAGGAACCCAGTACTACAGCTCACTGGCAAAACCACAGTGTCAGTACCCCTCTCAGGAGGACAGCAGATGTTCAGCTCAGTGATGAACAGTGACCCAGTGAAATTAGACTTTCCAGCTTTCACAAGATACAGATCTGTATTTTATATATCATCTCATGTATGTATTTATTTCAATTTTTATTATTTTTATATGTATGTATGTGCACCATGTGTTTGCATGTGCCTTTGGAGGCCAGAAGAAGGTATCAGATCCACTGGAACTGGAGTTAACAAGTGTTTGTGAACCACCCAATATTGGTTCAGGGAACCAAACCCAGGGTCTCTGCAAAGCATCAAATGTTCTTAACTCTTGAGCCATCTCTCCAGTCCTATTGTGTATTCATTTTTTAATTACAAAATTATGTGTATATATAGATATATATGGTATACATGTTATAAAATATACATATGCTGTGAAATGGCTAAATCAAGCTAATTAACAAACACATGATCTCATATACTTTATTCTGTGCGTGTTGAAAACACTTGAAATGTACTGTCAGCAAATTTCAAGTACACATTGTATCATTGTGATTTATAGTCAGGCAATGTACAGTAGATGCCTCGGATTTATTTTGACTCATGGTTTCAAAGGATTTTAGTTCTTCGAAGCCACGAGGACACAGCAAAGCTGCTATGTTTGTGGTGCGGGACCATAAGGTCGCTGGCAGTTTTCACATCATGGTTCACTAGTTAAGTGAGAAAACCCAATTAGGAACCAGCTATGATTTCAAAGGCTCACCCCTCATGACCTAATTCTTCCAGTC